AACTCCTCCGCCGCTTGTTTGTACTGTTTCATCCGGCCTTCCTTTGCTTCGTACGATCCCTCCACCTGGCCCACTACCAGTTTGGTGTCGCACTTGATTTTGAGGTGCTTGGCCTTGAGGCCGGCGGCGAGTCTGAGACCGCTGAGGAGGGCCTCATACTCGGCTTCGTTGTTGGATACCTTGAAGTTGAAGCGGATGGCATAGTAAGCTCTGAATCCTCCAGGGGATATGAGGACGACGACGCCGCCGCATGATTTCGCGGCCGACGAGCCGTCAGTGAACAGGGTCCACGTATCGTCCGACTCCGGCCCGGAGTTGGCGACGGCCGTCTCCCTTGCTGTGCATTCAATGACGAAGTCGGCCAAGGCTTGCCCTTTGATAGATGGCCTTGGCTTGATCTCAATTTGAAATTGGCTGAGGAAAATTGCCCATTTCACCATCCTCGAGGAGCTGGTGGGGCTCCTCATGAGTGCGCCGAGAGGCTGCTGGGTCAGCACATGGACGGTGTGGGCCTGGAAGTAGTGTCCAAGCTTCTTCACTGGATGGACGATGGCCAGCACCGTCTTCTCGATGGGGGAGTATCTTAGCTCGGCCTCCCTGAGTGTCTTGCTGATGTAGAAGATGGCCTTCTGCACCCCTTCGTCCTCACGGATGAGCACGGAGCTGATGGCCGACGTGCTCACCCCTAAGTACAAGAAGAGGGTTTCACCGGCTTTGGGCTTGGAGAGCACGGGTGGGGACGACAAGTACCTTTTCAATTCGTCAAATGCCTCCTGGCACTCCGTCGTCCACTTGAAGCTGTTGGCTTTCCGCATGATCTGAAAGAAGGGGAGTGCCCTCTCGGCCGATCTGGAGAGGAAACGGTCCAGGGCCGCCAGGCGCCCCGTCAGTCGTTGTACTTCCTTGACGTTACGGGGCGGCTCCATGTTGATGATAGCCTGCGTCTTCTCCGGGTTTATCTCGATGCCTTTCCGGCTGACCATGTAGCCGAGGAACTTGCCACCCTGGACGCCGAAGGCACACTTCTTGGGGTTGAGCCGGAGCCTGAACTCCTTCATGATCTCAAAGATTTCCCGGAGGTCGTCGGCGTGGGAGGAAGCCTGCCTGCTCTTGACGATCATGTCATCGACGTACGCCTCCATCGTCCGGACAAGGACCGCTCTGAAGATCCTGCCCACCATCCTAGTGTAGGTGGCGCCGGAGTTTTTGAGTCCGAAGGCCATGACGAGGTAGCAAAAGATTCCCTCTGGGGTCATGAACGCCGTCTTCTCGGCGTCATCTTCATGCATGGAGATCTGGTGGTACCCTCTGAAAGCGTCGAGGAACGACATTAACTCGCACCCCACCGTCTCGTCCACTAGCTGATCAATGTTGGGGAGAGGGAACGGGTCCATGGGGCATGCCTTGTTCAGGTCAGTGTAATCAACACACATTCTGAACGTCGGTGGCTTCTGGGCGAGGACGACGTTGGCCAACCATGTCGGGTACTTCACCTCTTTGATGTGTTTGATTGAGAGGAGCATGGCGACCTCCCCTTTGACGAAGTCCCGCCTGTCGGCGGACAAGTAGCACCGCTTCTGTTTGACAGGCGCGGAGGCCGGATCGACGGTCAGCCGGTGAGTGATCACCTGGCGGCTGATGCCTGGCATATCGTCCGGGCCCCACGCGAAGACAACGGCGTACGACCGTAGGACGAGGAGGATGGCGTCTCGTTGGTCCTGGGGGAGTTGCTTTCCGACCCTGAGAACCCGCTCCGGCCGGGAGGTATCCAGAGGGATTTCCTCGACCTCCTCGGCCGGCTTCGCATGTGGCCTCTCCTCGTCCATGGCGACGGCGGCCGTAATGGTGTCTATCCTCTGCCCTTCCCTTTCGGCCGGCCTCGTTAGCTTGAGGTAGCAAGCTCTGGCTATCCTCTGATTTCCTCTGGCGTAGCCAATGCCGTCATTGGTGGGGAACTTCAAACATAGGTGCTTCATGGAGATGATGGCCTCCAAGTCCTCCAGTGCTGGCCGCCCCAAAATCAGGTTGTGGGCGCACTGGAGGTTGACCACCATGAACTCCATGTTAATTCTGGCGTGGTGGGGGCCGTCACCGACCTCCACGGGGAGGACTATCGTGCCCTCGGCGTCGACAGAGTCCCCGGTGAAACCAGATAACGGTGTCTTGATCGGCTTCAGCAGGGCTCTGTCCAACTTCAGCTGTTTGAAGGTGTCCAGGTACATTACGTTGACGGAGCTCCCCGTATCGATGTAAGTACGGTGGATGATGGAGTCACCGATCTCACATCGGATGACGAGGGCGTCCCTGTGTGATTCCGTACCCGGAGGCAGATCCCTGTCGGTGAAGGTGATCGCCTCCGTTCGCTGCTTCTTCGGCTGAGGGGGGACGTGGGACGCCTCTCCAATATAAAGGGATTGGGCCCATTTCTTTCTCTGAGTGGCGGAGTCCCCCCCAGTGTTCCCACCTACGATGAGGTGGATGTGATTCTTCTTCGGCGGAGTCTCCTCGAAGTCCTCGTCGTCGCTGAGCCTACCAATCTCCCGCTTCTTCGCAGAGGGTTCGCCCCCATGTTTGCCGGTGTTTACCCAAGTGTTTTTGCGTGGGCCACCTTTGACAAATTGGGAGAGTTCCCCCTGGCGAATAAGGCGTTCGATGGCCTTCTTCAGAGTGATGCATTCGTCGGTGTTGTGCGACGAGTTCTTGTGGAACCGACAGTATGTGCCGCCCTGCTGGATGGAAAGGATCTCCTCGGCCGGCCGAGGAGCCTGCTCGATGAGGCCGTGCTTCTCGGCATAATCGAGGATGGTGCCGACCGGGTGGGTGAGGGTTACCCCCGGCCGTTCCAGCCTCGGCCGCCAGTGGCGGCCTTTCTTACTCTGTCCACCAGAGCCGTGACGGCCCTGGGCACCCTGGCCGGCCGGGGACGGACCCGGGGCCGGCGATGGATTTGTCTTCTTGGGGGGATGGCCCCCTTCTCTCTTGTGATTGTGGAGCTCGTCGGCGTCGGCATACAAGCCTCCGCGCTGGAGCGCCTTGGCGTACGACCTCGGGGGGTCGGTGATGAGGCTCCTAGCGTACGGGGAGCTGCGGAGGGCTCCCTGGTACAAGGCGAGGAGGGTGCGCTCATCGGCCCCTTCGACCTCCTCGGTCTCCCTCGCCCACCGATCGATAAATGACCGGAGGGACTCCTCGTGCTGCTGCTTGACGGAGAGGAGGTGGGTGAAATACTTCTTGGCGCGTTTCCTCCCGGCAAAGTGAGTGAGGAAGCGTTGGGCGAGATCCTGCCATGAGTCGATGCTTCCTTCTGGCAGCCCGTTGAACCACTCGTACGCTGGCCCCTCGAGAGTAGAGAGGAACCAACAACAAAGGTATTCGTCGGACGCGTTCACCATTAGCATGTTTTTCTGGTAACGGCTGAAGTGCTCCTGGGGGTCTGATCGGCCATCGTAGGACTTGATGGCGTTCCCCTGTACTTCTCAGGGATGGGGGCCGAGAGGACCCTGTTGGTGAAAGGGGTCCTGGTCCTGACCTGGATGATGGGGTCGCCTCGCCCCTCGGCCAGCTCCCTCTCCAGGGCGCTAACTTTGTTCATGAGCGCGTTGAGGCCGGGGTCGTTGGAGGCGCCGGCCGTAGGGATGTTGGCCGACTGCTTGGCCTCCATCTTAGCCAGCCTCCTTTCCAGCTGGGCGATGACCTCGTCCCGGGGGTCCCTGTCGGCCGCAACGGCGCCCGGCTGGTTCCTCAGGCGCTCGTTGTGAGCCGCGTTGATCTGGTGACGCACGTCATCCTCGTGCAACTTCCCCTTGCCCTTGTCCGGGCGGGGCTGGTCCGCTGTCCGGGACACAGACCCCAAGCTTTCCCTTGGCGAGCCAGGACGAGGATCACCAATCCGTCCCGCCATCCTCTCCGAAACCGGACGACGGCGCGTGTCACCTAGCCTATTGAAGGCAGAGGCTTTTCCACGCGCTGGGGTCTGCCCGGGCCGAAGAGTGGAAGCAGGGTGGGAGTGGGACGACGCCGTGTCCTGGGGCACCACCCCCTCATCGTTGCCTATCTGGACGGCCAACGGTTGGTGCTGAGGAGGTTGAGTGACGTCCCCCCCGGTCCTTGGCAAGAGTGCGCTGAGGACGGTGGGGTTCTGAGCTAGGTTGGCGATGATGGCCGACAGCGCGGCCTGGACCTGTGGATCCACGGACGGAGAGGCCGCGGCCATAGACTGGGCCGGGGCGTGGTCCGTCTTCTCAGCTCGTTTCTTGTCCAGGCCGAGGCGGGCATCAGGGACTCCGCCGTTGAGTTGGTTGCGGAGGTCCGTTGTGAGGTTGAAGGCCTCCTGGAAGAGGTCCCCTCCACCGACCTGGTCGGCCGTGGCGTCCTCATCGTGCTCCCTGGGCTCTTGGTCCTCAGGGATGGCTTTGCTGACGAGGTTGCGGTTTGACTTAGTTCTCCCCATGATGAGTGGTTAGCTGTGTTTGGTAGCGACGAAGGGTGCTAACTTGATTGTTCTAGCTCTCAACGAGAGCACCAAATGATAGAGTATATCTCTAGAGAGAAGTGAGAGCTAGAGAGAGAAGTAGTATATTTGCTTGATATTAATGAATTCTCAACCCCTACAACTACTCCCAAGGGGAGTATTTATAGAGAAAATACGGGCTGGGCTCCCAAGCCTTGGGCTTGGGAGGCCCATTTACAACTGGACCGCTACTGGGCCGAATACAAAGCCACTAATGGGCTGCACAAATGAATAAGTATAAAATCCGGTTCTGGGAGGTCCTCGTGGCCGACGAGGGCGTGGCCGACGAGGGCACCCGAGTTCCTTGGGCTCAGGACCATAATCTGAGTTGGCCCCTTTTCGGCCGACGGGGGCGTCTTGGCCGACGAGGGCGCCACTCTGTGTCTTGTGCTTTATGTTCTTCCGAGTATGTGGGTCCAGGGGCTCAGACCCATATACTCCATCAGTAAGAATGATTTAGAGCCACACAAACTTTACCAAATATGGTATGAGACAATCTTAGTGGATTTCCTGAAAAGATAAAATGAGACAATCTTAGTTGAACGGAGAGAGTATTTCATTGAATTGAAAATTTTTGCTTTGGACAGATTCAATCTCATCTATTTGAGTTTGCTTTAAATTGTTCTATTATGATAAATAAATTTGTAATCCGCACGGGTAGCTCAGTTGGTCGAGTGGTGGGAAAATTGGACCAAGTGACCAAGGTTCGAAACCTGCAGCGACCGTGTGGAGGTTACAGAACCTGAAATAAGACTGAACCTCTGATGCGCACGTGTATAAGGCCTACCGCCGCTTTACTGACCGAGTCACCGTGATTAACCACCCCATCATCCTGTCGGGTCGAGGTGGGGGGCCTTGGGGTTAGGCATTCAACCTTTTGGACCAAGATAAATAAATTTGTAATTTAAAAAACGTGGAAGTGTTTTTTCAGTGAACTACGTAGAAATTAGAAAAGAGAAATGAGGTAAGAGTCAGTTTGGTCCTCGAAGTAGGGGCATAAAAGGGGTCAAATAAGTCCTTATAACGTCTTTACTGTCCGGCTGTTGCCATTTGGGGCAGTTTCCGGTGGAAGTTTTTGATGAAATTTTTTGAGCATCTTATTCATAAAGTCTAGTTTACTCATACCGAATTTCAGCCAAAACTTAAATCGGGAAGACATTCAAATGAAGTCTTGAAGATAACTGCGCTTTTTACTACGCAGTTATCTTCAAGACTTCATTTTAATGCTTTCCCGATTTAAGTTTTATCTGAAATTTGGTATGAGTAAATTAGACGTAATGAATAAGATGATCAAAAAAGTTTATCAAAAAACTCCACTGTGAACCGCTCCAAATGACGACTCCCGGACAGTAAAGACGTTATAAGGACTTATTTGACATCTTTTATGCAACTTCGAGTACCAAACTGACTCTTACCTCAAAAAGAAATAGGACACAGTAACTAGTAACTGATACGGAACACTGGAGTAGTCGTCTATTAATGATAAATACACAGAGTAATAATTATCCATACAATAGTAGGTGAAACACTACACACCAAAAACCCAATAATTTTCTGACTACTCCTTTGTCTGCTAGCCGCCGACGAGAGCTTCTTGACAAATCCTGACGATGATGATAAATCCCTTGTCGGAACGTACAGACCGGGAGGATTTTCCGGCGAAACAGAAACTTCCGGCGCCTCAGCAACGCTGCCTGAAACGGCACTCCCTCCGCCACCAGGTTTCTCAACTTGAATCGGACTCTTCGGAAATAACTCCCCGGGTAGTAATACCTTTGAGACTCCGAATATGGCGACCGGGTTCTGATCGATCACCGTCCGTATCACCAACGCCTGTACCACTCCGGTGTCGATCGCCACAGATCCGTTGAGCCTGGAGATGTTTAAGGTGAACCTCTCCGCCCCTTTTTGCTCTGTCGCCAGTGTGGGCTCAATTGGGTTCACAACACCTTCAAGCGAACCTAGCGGGTAATACGAGGTGAGAACGTGAAATCTGAGGACATCGGCTTTCTCCTCCGCCGGTAATGATTGGAATCTAACAGACGCCGGCAGATCTGAGAATGCTTGATCCGTCGGCATGAACAGTGTCAGCCCGGCTCCGCCTTCGTGGCGTTCGAATTCACCTCCAACGCCGGATGCGATGAGCATGGACGCCACGACATTGAAGTCATCGGCGTCGATTAGGGCCTTGGTGATGTTCAGGCCCGGAGGTGGCCTACCGTCGGACGCCATGAGATCGAATCCATAAGGGACCAGAAGAGAATTCACCGAGAAAATAGAGACATTGTACGGCAGGGCCTTGATTTGAGATAATACGGTGGCGTTGGATATGGGGGAAACGACAGTGACAGTGCCGGAGCCCGGATTCCGAGTGATATTGACATACCCGAAAATGCCAGATGCCCGGCCCGTGGCCTGAAACAGAGTGGTCACAGTTCTGACGCCGGGTGGGTTCCGTCGGAGGTCCGACAAGGAGAGGTACTCAAGGAGGATGTGGTAGCGAATTACGTCGCCGGCGTAATTGGAAGATGGGGATGAATTGGGGGATTTGAGGAGATCGGAGTCGCGGAGGATGGTGTTGGGTACAGCAAGGAGAGTGATTGATGTACGGGCGGAGAGATCTGCGGCCACGGCGGTGGTGGTGATGAGGTTAGCAAAGTCGCTGAAGTCAGGATAAGAAGACAAAAGATTGGTGATGTTAATGCACAGGACGGGGAAATGTGAAGCAGAGAAGAGAAGGAAAGAGAGGAGGAGCGGAACAGAGGCGAAATAGGATTCGGAAACTGTGGTAGCCATGGAAACAGAGAGAAGGTGCCTCCCTCCCTACATAGAAATGGGTTGGGTTGGGCGGATGATAAGCACTGATGTTGATGCCAATTATTTGCATTTATTATTCTCTTTCAATGAGTATTACGGAGTGTTATAGACAATTTTTGGTTTGACATGGATTATAATAAAATGAGATAGACAATGGTCCTTTAAGACTAGGATATGAGGATTGATGTCGTTGTTATCAAAAGTCGAAAAAACGTGATTGACATAGGGTCGATTTAATATGAACAAACTAACAATAAATCACTAATAATCAAATATTATTAAGAAATTGTTCCCCTCATTTGAATGTTCTAATATGAAATTTTACAATTTGATCTGAATATTTTTTATTTGATTTTTATGGGTTTTTTACAAGAATATTACTAAAATAAAACATATTTACATAAATATGCCTATTTCATTACTACTCTAGTCATTAGTCATATTTTTGTAAATCATCTTTATTTTGATCATATTTATGTAATTATTTCTTTTTTTTATTCAATCCAATTCTTTCTGTTTTGAATCTTTCTATTCTAATTTGATTGACTATTTCTGATTTGTTATGAAACTTCTGTTTTAATCTGAATCTTTTTTGAAATAATGGCATATATATTACTCCTAGAGTTATTGAAGACAAAAATATGACCATAATTCATTTTGACAAAAAACTAACTGAATTAATATGAACGGACCCTCCCTTTCCCTGTACCTCCCTGCGCTATACTTCCCTGCGCGAGACATCTCTGCGCGAACAAAGGGTGAGCAACTCCTCAGGAGCAGAACGCCATCGCCGATCATCTCTTCAGGACAGGTGCAACATCGACGGGGCTCGATGTGTTCTTCACCAATTCTGGATCTAGGCCTTCTCTTCGCAGATTCAGGTTGTTTCCTTCTCTGCGAGCTTCATCTGCGTACATCGTCAAGCTATACGTCGGAGCCTCCCCAGCCACGTCGACTGAGAGAGCTTCTCAATTGTGTCGACCGCCGTCCCCATCGCCTCTCAGCATCGTTGAGAAGTCGTCACTGTCGTCGGTACTGCTGAACTCCAGATCGATTTTCGCTAGTCAGAGCTTTGTTGAGCGGCACACTGAGATCAAATTAAGGAGGGGATGTCGCTGATTTCTCCTGGGATTTCTATGTTCATCGAAGGATGAAGCCATTTGATTGCCGGTTTTGTCGAGGACAGAGGAAGTCGGACCGTCGGAGACTGAGATGTTGCCCGCCAGTTTTGTTAAGCGGCGGACTGAGGATCAAAGAGGTGGGGTCCCTTCTGGTTTCACATGTTACTTTCGTGTCTATCGAAGAGAACGGAGAAGCAGATCTCAAGTGCTTCTCTCATGCTGACGTGCACTTTGTCGTGAAATGCACTCAAAATAATTAATCAATACAACACTAATACGTATTATAGTGAAGTAAGGTTCGTATCCACATGGAAAGGAATACATTTCTTTTATATAAATAGTAACAAGAGAGGTTTTAAGTTTGATTTGATTTAATTTAATTAACACTAAGATAAACGACTTATATGAGTTTAAATTATTGAGATGATGACTTTGTTTTGCTTTTATCCTCTTAATGAAATGTTCGTCGATCACGGTTATATCTTTAACTATCTTCCTCTCGAATACTCAATCGAGGAGTATATCCAGTTCATCGAGGGTAGTTATTAATAACGAGACGCGTTCATTAATAAAACTTACTACCGAGTTAATATAGAACAAGCGTCGTATATTAGCCCGATAGTAGCAATAAACTTAAGATGAAAACGATTGAGATGTATAACCTCAACACCAGCGGTTTATTGGTTTAATCAATATAATTAATTCCCCTTAGATTATTAATGATCGGCTGAAACTTGCAAGTGTACAAGTGCCAATGTAGTAATAAATTCCGGTAAAAATACCGGGTCGAACACAAGGAAACGTTGTTTATATGATTCAAAAGCGAAAGCGGTTTAGTAAAAGAATCAAGAACAGAGTAAAGCTTTTTGATTTTTTTAAGAGATAATAAAAGCAACCAAGGGTTCGGGATTACTCCTAAACGACTCCTAGTGATGAATATATGTTCTTTCGCCAATTCTTATGAGTGGAATGTCACTAAAGTATTCTAACTCCTATTACGGCTGCGAGATTGTGATTAATTCTACGTGTGAATCCCGTCACGGTTCACATTCATCTAAAATTAACCCCATTGAAGATTAGGACATTATAAAAACCACCATACTCAATTGAGGTATATTTCTATCCACAATTAGAATATGTCTAACCTTTAAGTGCACGGTTTATAACTCAACGTTAATTGCTCAAATAAACCCAACGATATAATCATACGTTGTACACCGTAGTCATACACATTAAAATATAAAGGAAAGATCATAATAATTTGGTTGAGAACATACATCAAACACCTAGAGTGCATAAAGTTTCATCCCTAACCTTGGCTATAGAAAATTAGCTAGAACAATTCATAATGAAATTACAAGTATTGAAATGATAAAATACAATGAAATACATAAGAAAATGATACCACAACTCCAAAGCTATGGTGGATAAAGCTTTCCCCAAGTGTAGAACTTCTCCCAAGACCAAGGGGTTGCTCTTGGGATGCCAAAGTAGAAGTAAAGTGTGTAGAATATGGAATAATCTCTTGAGAGGGCTTCAATCCTCTTAAATATTGAATTCTCAACGGCCATTTTCGGACAAGGAAGCAAGCTCCTTAATGGGATTTGGTGTTTTGCCCGAATGATTGTGATGACCGTTGCTTGTTTTAATCAGCTCCAGGCAAAAGGCGGGCGACTTTCGCAAAGGCCGGGCGGCTTTTGCGAGTTTAAACAGGCTTCTCCGCTCCAGGGACCGAAAGCCGGGCGGCTTTCGCCAAAAGCCGGGCGGCTTTTGGTCGATTTGCTGAATAAATTCCACGGCGCCCAAAGCCGGGCGGCTTTCGTCTGTTTTGCTCCGGGTGCTTTTCCTTCATCTGCGGACGGCAACTGGATGGCTGGTTGGTGAAAACCGGCCGGTTTTGGTGAAAGCCGGACGGCTTTCACCCCTTTGGTGTATTTTCCTTTTTTCCTTTTGTTCTCGGGATGCGTTTGGTTGACCTTTACTTGTCGGGATTCTTCGTGTGTCTTTTCATCCTCGTATTTGATCCAATTGTCGGTTATAGTATTTCTTGCAAAACGAGACATATGTGTGAGAGTTTTATTCTTTTAAGTATAAAAGCGTTTATAAATTGTTGTATAAAATACGTTAATAAAACGCTTATCAAATACCCCCACACTTGAGCTTTGCTTGTCCTCAAGCAAATTAAAAACTTTTTTTTTGTAGAATTATTAAGTCGAAACCTTAAGAAAAATTCTTTTGAAAAAATTTTGGAGGACAAAGGTTTTGCTAAAATATTTTTGAATAAATATGGACCAAAAGTGAACAAATTAAGGAGAAAAATTCCTGCAATTTAGAAGTTAAAAGACCACCCCCCCACACTTGTTCCACAATGTCTCAATGTGGATCACAAAGAGCAATCAAAGCAAGATTAAACACACATAGCACAAAGACAACATTAGAGTCAAATTAACAACAAACTGGAGTTTGAGCAAGACTAGATAAGAATTGTTTTAGTACACTTCCCTTTTTTTTGTCAACTTTACTCATCATTCTCATCTCCCTCTTCTCAGGAAGGGAAAAAGAAGTTTGGATCGTAGGACGACAGTGGTGGTATGTTGAAATGTCTCCCCAGCTCTTGACAATAGTAGTTCATGCTCCACAAATGGCTCCCCATTCCCTGGATAGCGTGGCGTTGATCTCTCAAGTCTCGTCTATGCACCGCAAGCTCCGTGCGGATTTGACCAAATTGCTCGGTCAAGTAGTCCATGTCGTAAGGAGCTCCGGCTTGGGGGACGTGAGCTGCCTCTTCATGGTGCTCCTCATGGCCTCCCGCGGGTTCCCCACCTTCCATCATCTCTTCTTCATTCTCCTCCGGTACAACTCTATGGAATTTCGCCACACACCTCCATGGTCCTCCGTGCGGCGGTTGGAAATAGCGGAGGTGGGTCATGACACTATCATCAAGCACGGCGTGCATCTCCCGTTCTTCTTCTCCTCTAAAACTAACACCAAAATGTTGAAAAATCTTAGAGAGCAAAATAGGGAAAATGAAGGCCTTATCTTGATTGTTGCTTAAGACCGCGCTCCATAATTGCTTGATGATGATGCCCGAGAGAGGAATCCCCTCATGACGATCAAGCCCGGTGTGCATCCTATATGCAAAGTAGAGGTCGGCACTTCGGATTTTGTTGTAGCCGCTCGCTCTCGGCATGACGTTGAACGAGTAGAGGTACATCAAAAGCCGGGTCCGGATGTGTGGTTGGCCGAGGTTCTTCGTCATTAGATCAAGGCCTTGCAACCCAAAATATTGCATAGCATCCATGGGGTTGTAGTTCCCATCACTATTCATTGTTCCGGCTTGGGAAGGAGCGAAAGGGGTGCCGAACTTGGTGATGTGAAATTGAGAGCTCAAGAGGTCATTGGTGATAGTAATTTTGACCCCTTTGACTCGGCTCTCAATCATCTTTTGGGCTTAATTCCCTTCAACGTTTGCGAAGAACTCCTTTACGAGTTCCGGATAGAAGGTGCCTTGGAGATGTAGCACTGGTTCCCAATTGATATTGGCGAAGGCCGCGGTGAGCTGGAACTCGTGATCAATAGGTGCTGAGATTATCTTTTCAATCACAAAGTCGGTGTCCCGGGACTCTAGATAACGCTCGTAGCATTGAGTGTTCACAAACCGACTAGTCGGCAAGATGGTGGAGGAGGCCGCGGGTGCCTTGTTGTTCCTAGCCCGCTTGGGGTTGCTCGGGCCAGCCTCATTTCTCACAGATTTGCCCTTTGAAGTCATTTCAACCTATAAACTCAAAAGATAATAGTCAATTTCTCAAAAAAATTTGACATGGATTCCCCTAAAAATTGACTATAATCACAATTTAGGACAACAAGGGACAACATACTCACAATCTCATTCATCAACAAATAATCACAATAATTCAATTGAAAATCCCCAAATTTAAACAAGAATTTCGAACCCTAAGCCCCAATTTTAATCAAGTAGCAAAAATTTCAATTTTTTTGAAAATAACAACTTGAAAAGAGGT